ATATATATATATATATATATATATATATATATATATATACGGATTTATGACTAACTCAAATCCATACTTGTTTTTTAAACATTACAACCATTATTATGTTAAATTCCCTACTGTAAAAGGTTTCTAGCCTGTGACGGTAGACATGAATACTAAAGAGTAGCATAGTATCAGTTGTTATACTTTCTTATGGAACTTTTTACAAGGTCTTTATTTTGATAGGTGGGCATTGTGGGAAGAACAGGTGCGGGTAAATCTTCACTGATGTTGACACTATTTCGTATCATAGAAGCTGACAGTGGCTTCATTACCATTGATGGAATAGACATCTCTAAAGTCGGACTTCATGACCTTCGCTCAAAGCTCACAATTATTCCTCAGGTGTTAAAAAAATCTTTCGTATTTAACCTTTTGTAGCTTTCGGTTTAATATATTTCACTTGAGTATACCTTGTGTGTAATTTTAATAACCTCCTCATGTTGACATTGAAATCTATGGTAGTATGAAGGCAATTGTTTAAGACATATGACATAGAAACTTTTTAATATTATTACATACTTAAAAGCATTGGGCATACATTAGTTCAATGTAAAATCATGGTTGTGAAGCACATTTCAAAAAATACATAATATTAATGAACTCTTATTTTACATCCTCCCCTCCTTAGATTTCAATATTTTTAGTTTATTAATTCCACTGAATTTGTATTATATATGTAATGCCTACACTGAAAACCTAAGTTACATTTAAATATAAAATAATATAACTCTGATTTTGGTAATTAGTGTGCTAGTTACAGATAGCAAAATATTCTTGCCTACATTCAAGCACCTTTTTTATAGTAGAGCAATAGCATTCCAAATGTGTTTTAATAGATACTATGAATAATAATAGTAAAGGTAGAAGTAGGTGATTAGAATAATGCAGTTAATGGTATAATTCTTTCCATTGATTACATTGTTCACTAGTATGATTTGACTACAAATATAAAGAGATGAAAGGATGCCATTCTGTAATTTTTTTTTTTAAATGATTTTGTAGGATCCCTTTCTATTTTCTGGAACTTTACGTATGAATCTAGACCCCTTCATGATACACAGTGATGAGGAGCTGTGGAAGGCTGTTGAACATTCACACCTTAAGGAGTTTGTATCCAGTCTAGAAGCTGGACTGGATCACAAAATAGCTGAAGGTGGAAGCAACTTGAGGTGACTCTTCTATTGATTGTTACTAGAAACGTCACTGATCTCACATTGTTTCAGTATCACATATTAGATCTATTTAAAATTCCATAATTCTAATAATGTTTAAAAGCTAAGATCTAATGAAATCAGGAAAGGAGAACGATTAAGATTAACACAAAACTGAGATAGCTGAATAGTGTCTGTAATATATTTCTTATCACTAAGACATTCTACTAAATTGCCAAAAGTTAGAAGACATAGTAGCAATACTATATCACAATTAACTTCTGATGTTAAGAAAATGTTACTATATCAAAATTTATTAATTTTAAAGATGTTATGTATCTTCAAACATCTGTGAGAAGGTACATTTAGTACAATTTTGTTAGTACAAGGTAGTTTGAAAAATCTTCAAGCTACTTGCCAGTGCTGGTTTATTTTCTTGTATGTAATGAAAAGCCTTAAAGTAAATTGTACAATTTTTAAAATCTAAACTGTTTAACGAAGTGTGCATGGGATCGGTCCAATGAACCAACTCCATAATTCTGAACTTACCATGTGTATCCACACAAGATGTGGCATGCTTTAAGTAAAATGAACAAGTGTGTTGTATTTGAAATACATCAGTCTGCTTTAGACAAGTCGGAATACAACGTGATGTTCACTTGAAGAACAAAAATACTTTTGTTTATTGTACAGTTTGTATATTGCATTCGCCTAACCTCCAAAATGCACATCTGCATTTTTTTCATTATATATGTAATACCTGTTACTTCTTTACCACGAACAATGGTAAATGAGCAGTGTATGATAAAATGAATATTTGATAACTCCAACATTAAATGAATAATATCATGTTTAATGGCATTGTGTAAATGGTTGTGTCTTGTGCATTTTGACCACACAACCAGTGAATATAGGGTTAATATGTTGTCATGTTTTACATTTTAAAAACTTGTCATCTGGGTAGTGTAATTTTAAGAGTAAATTATAAATTTCTTGTCTAAAAACCTTTCATATATCTACAAATACTCATTCTTTGAATTTTCTAGAACATGCAACATAATATTTTTCTTCTAGTTTTTTAAAATGAAAACTTGCTTTGTACAGTGTTGGTCAGTGTCAGTTAGTCTGCCTTGCTCGGGCGCTGCTAAGGAAAACCAGAGTGTTAATTCTTGATGAAGCTACAGCTGAGATTGATCTAGAAACAGATGATTTAGTTCAAGCAACAATAAGAAGAGAGTTCTCAGGTTGTACAATCCTCACCATAGCCCATCGAATTAGCACCATCATGGACTACAACAGGTAGTTATGAGATATTTTTAACAAACAGTCCACCAAGAATGTTCCTGTAACAACACTCCTCTGAACTTGGCTTTTTTATATCAGTGAAGTGTTTGATATACACATTTTATTAACTATGGTGTTGATACTAATGTTCACAAAAAGTTTGAAGTTTTGTTTAGGCTTTAGATAAAGAAAAAAAAGATTGATACAAATCTTTATGCAGTAAGTTATAAATAATGATTTTCTTCTTAGGCTTTCATTTGTAGTTTATACTAGCTCACAATGCAAAGTGAAAACTTCTGTCATCTTTGATGGTGCAAGGTAGACAAATGAAAATAGGTTGTTGTATTGACATTTTCTAATTAAAGTAATTACAATGTCCCACCTTACTTTAAAATGAAAGAAAAAAAGAAGCTAAAATTCTGCATCATTAAGCTGTTAAAACTGAAAGGGTGAGACTTTGGGTATGACCCAATTATACTGTTCTAAATTAAATGTATTTTTAATAACTGCCTGATGACCTGCTGAGAATATTAGTTACAATTTAACATTTCACACTGTCTCAGGTAATGAGTTAAAACCTACTATTACTAAAGCATTACTCTGAATAATCAGACATTGAAAACTTTTTTTTCAGTTTAATTCTACTTTTTAATCTCCTAATCATTTGTTTAGGGTAATGGTGTTGGACAATGGCCAAATCATAGAATTCAACTCCCCTGCAGTGTTACTTCAAGACAAAAACTCCACATTTTACTCTTTGGTCAGAGATGCAGGACTGGCAAAGGAATAGTTGATTATAGCAAAGTACAAGAAAAGTGCCAAAGCATGTTCTTATTGAGAATTGAATACAGACAAAAGGTATCAGGAAACCACCCAGAATTTCAAGTATTATGTCATGTTGTTACTTGATTTAGGTATGTATTTTAATACCTATATATGGTGGTGTTACTGCTCCTAAGGTTTATGAAAAGCTTTATTTTATATTATTTTTAATAAAAGTTTTTGATTTTTTTCATATATTTAATTTCACCATACAATTCTTATTTAACACTTTTTGACATTAAGTGACCTCTGGATGAGAAATAGCATTTACAAGTGTATTCAGAAGAATCCAAATGTTGTGGATTAAATGGACTGATGACTGTGTTTTTACTTTTAGTGCTATGATATTGTTATATATTGCTTATTAGGGAAATGGTACAAAAGAAAAGCTTGCTGTATAACACTGGGGAAATGTCAGTAAGACAATCACTTTTTAACTAGTAATATTGTACAATCCATTTAATGTATTATTTTTCATAAACAAATTTAGCCATCAACAGACATAATGATAACCACATAAGTTGTAACTAGAGCCAGAGTTTTCTAGAAATAAAAGTAACATTTCAAAGACTTCAATTTATAAGCCTACGTTATTTCTACTTTTCACTTTAATTTGCCATGCAAGTTACTATTAGATGTCACTACTGCCATCGATGTTCAGTCTTGCAGGGCCTTTAATGTGGTTAGTTATGCAAACTTTAACTAGTCTACAACCTTAATGAAGACAGAACAGTTAAACATTTCCTGGGATCAGTAAGGCATTTACAGTATTTTTATTCCATTCAAGAAAATGCATATACACCAATATCAAATGGAGACTAAAAGGCCTTGCTATAGCTTTTAGTTTCATAACAATTTATGCTGTCTTGATCTTTTGCTTTATTTGTTAAAAAATGTATAATAATTGGCATAACTAACTTCATTAAAATTAGACTCTGGTCATTATTATAAAAAGAAACTGGACTTATAAAATTCAACTCTAGCTTGATTATAACTGTTTAAAATGCTTGTTGTGTGTGTGCTATTTAACTTGTTTTACTGAGGAGCAAGTTAATTTTCTTGTTCAAAAAATAAAGCATATATGGAATATATTTGAAACCAAAGAATCTTCAATAAAATGTATAGTTTTTTTCATCGTAGCATTTTCAATTTTATATTTGTTTAAATATATTTTAGATTGTTTTACTTGCTGCTAAGATCTTTTTTTCTGACATTCAGTATTTTCAAATAATAATGTTACTGTATATAATAAAAACGAAAACTACATATTTTGAATGCTGTAAGTTATTTGAGAAAATACTACCTAGAATGGTATCCCCTTAAAAATTGTTTCAATAACATAAGTATTATGTTTTGTGCTGCCTTGTAAGATGTGTAAATGGTAACTTGAAAATAAAGGCAATTCATTGGCACCAACCATAACCTTTCTGTAGTTGAGATCTATAAAGAAATGGTTAATAGACTACATGAAATGATACAGAATTTATTTAATATCCAGACAACTATTTTAAACACTTCCTATCAGAAAACTTCACAATTCTTGCAATAGTACCATTTATATTGTTTAAAGGTTACTAGAACTTGAATTTTTATTATACAAAATATTTGTAGGGTAAGAATAATTAGAAATAAAAAGCACAAGACAACTATTTTTAAATGATACTGGTATGAAAAAACTTTTTCAACAGAAGGTTGTGTTATTACAGCATTAATTTTCTGGAAAATATCACATTAGTTTCTGTAAAAGCAGGCAGTTAACTTCAAACCATTTTTCAATCAAGATTTGGATACATACAGCAAACAGTGCTTTTATTAAGCAGACAAAAATATTCTCTAAAACCAAGAATTCACAGATCTTGAGAGATTATTACCACTATTTCTTAGGTAAACAGACATACTACTGTTTATGTATCAAAGGCTGTTGGGTTTTATTAACTTGGCTTTACATCAGAGGCATCTTTACTTTCTTCAGCAGCTTTAGCATCAGGAATCCACAGTCCCGAGTCAATACAACGCTTCATGTGATATCGTGCCTCTTCTTCAGGTATCTGAGTAATTACCTGCTGAAGCATTGGAATATCCTGGGTTTCAAAGCACTTCCTTAAAGACTGCAAAAGTAAAGTACCATCAGATAGTGCACAAAAATATTAAAAGTATTTCACCATAAGATTTGTAAAACATAAAAATATTTATTTAAAGCTATCATATACAAACATAATCACAAGTTGACTGTGACTAACATCACATAAACAATATAAAAATTAAAGTAAACCAACAATGCATATTTTTAACTGTGTGTGTGAAATAAAACTATAAAATTTACCTCTGGCAAAGACTCAAGTACCTCAACTGGGTCAAGACCTCCAGGTCCTAATCTTTTTTGTCTCTCTTCCTGTTCCAAAAGAGTAGTGTTTAGTATTACCTCTCAAAAGAAATATTTCTTTTAGACTAATAAAATAAATCTTCCATAACTATAATTATACATTTTACTACAAAAAGATAAGACCATTTTCTAAGTTCTCTACAACCTTGAATAGATATTCAAAGAAAGAATATCATGACCTGGCAAACTTTAATCCTTTCCAGACTATTTTTTAATTCTATAAAA